AAGAATTTGGAGCTATAGTAAGGAACTCCTTGCATGTGGGAAAGCACGATATTCTCCTTGGATGCCTTGCAATCTTTGTGCAGACAAGCTGCAACAAGTGAGGGAAAAGTTTCACCCAGTTTCTCACACCTCCATTTTTATGTAGACCCAGATGAAACCGCTATAGCTTGTTCCAAGACTGTTCTTCCAGCTAAACCAGAATTGTGCTAGTACTAAACAAACCTGGTGTTTCCCGTTTGGTGCTGTAAGTGAATCATATTCTTTTCATCAGCTCTTATTTGTCCACCTTCCTCACCTGTGGAGGCCTGCTTGGCTTTTTATTATACATGACTCAGTGTACCTTTTACTTTGGTTAGATGCTCTTGGCTTCACCATATGGGATCAAATCAGAGCCTGGTGCTGCCACTACCCAATTAAGTATACAAGTAGTATGTCAGGTGATACTTAATCAAGTCTGTTCATCATCTTTTCCTCTTTCTATCTGCCCTAGTGTATTTTGCTCTACCAACCCCATGCCAGTGTGTCTCTATCTAACCTTAGAATGTCCCTTAGTCTCTCTTTAAGATCACATCCTTTCTGCATTTATCACTGGAGTAATTGAAACTCTTTTCATTTTTATTATGCTCAGAAGTAGTTATTTATTGCAATAACTGGGGACTTGAATTCAGTTGATTCAATGTTTGTTCCAGTTTTGCTACAAACTTGCTGGATGATCTGGGCAGTGCAATTCCTCTTCTGTAAAGTGGTGCCAATTTCATGACAACATGTAGCTCAAAGGCTCCAAAATAAGGTGTCAGCCACTGAGCTGTTGAAGGAAAACACTGTAGAAACACAGCTTATGATTACAGCAGTCTGGAGACACTCTGCACTTGTTGCTGTGAGCAAATATGTGCAGTATGTACTCGTGCCAGACACTGTGAACATGCTGGCAAATTCAAAGTTTGACCTACTAACAGCTGTGTATGGTTTGTATTAACATCAATTTACTGAGCCCCAATAGCACTATGCTGCCACTTGGTGAGGAACTCAGGATTTGCTGTCGAAGTGGAGAGTAAGGGCTGAACTGTCACAGAGGAGCCCATAAGGTCACTACCAAAATCTGACTTGGCAGGAGGAACAGGAGATGGCTTTATTAGCTACAATTTACCTGAGGAAAAGCCTAGTTATGATTAGACTTGGAGACATTTTGTCAGTGTTACACCACTTTGTCCCAGTGCACAGGGTCTGATGCAGCAGCATAGCCAAGGCAGAGCATGCAGAAACTCTTTTTGGAGTTTCAGAAAGTGGAATAATTCTTCTGCCTCTTCTTCAAACAATGTATTCCCACAAGCAAATCACGAGGTTCCAGTATCACTGTTCCAAGGGGTTTATAGGAACCTATATCCATATGCTGGATGCAAAGTATGTATGCATTCATGTATATGTATATACCCCACAAGAACACACTTGTGCACTGTATATGAAATTGCAGACAGCTTCAGATCTGCATTGAAGGTTAGTGTCATGCTCCATCTGTGCAACCAAGCCAGTGAAACAGCTCCACAGAAAAAAGCAGCATCCCTTGCTCCTTCCTGATTTAGCTGTGTTCTCCACCAGCCCACTCCAGATGGCTCTGCTGACCCCTGCTCCATGGCAAGGTGCAGCACTACGAAGTCCTTGTGCCAGTCCTGAACCAACTGACTTGACATTAAAAGCAGGACATTAAAACATTAGTCTAGCTAAAATGCCTTGTCAACATTGTGAGAGTGAAATGGATTATTTAGAGACAACTTAGGTATGTGCCTCAGATTTCATTTTGCTGTGCAGCTACAGCCACAGTTGCTAGGCATATGGTCTTGTTATTGATCTCATGAGAGCTAGTATCACTCTAAGTCACCGAGGAGATGAAGCAAAAAGTATATTGATTCATACATTTTAAGATCAAGGGGACTATTATGATCACATAAAGTTAGTTCCAGCACATCATATAATTTCATCCAGTAATTCCTGCATCAAACACAGAATGTTTCAGGTTAAACATGTCTTTCAGAATGAAAAGTAAATTTTTTTTTTTTAAACTCCAATTATGAAGGAATCATCTCAACAATTTGTTTCTTAAATAATTATCCTCACTCTTGAAAAACCACAGCTTGAAGTTTGCATTTGTCTAGTTTCAGCTCCTTGATACTGTTTTGATATGCTTTCATGTGCAAAATTAAGGAGCTTCCCACTCCCAGAAATCATCCTTTGTAGTGATTTAGGCCATGAACGAGTTACAGAACTTTTCTTTGATATTCTCTGAATAGATGGAGATGCCTTACTGAGTTGTGGCTGTAGGAATTTTTGATGATGACTTAAAATGTAGCTCAACACAACAGAAAATTGTAGGAGTAAGGCAAAAAGCCCGGGATGACAAACACAGGATGAAGAATATAGTTTTCTGTGTAAACTCTTTTCCTCTTTTATAAAGAGCATAATCCATTGCCCACCATAATAAGCATATCAACAGGGTGTTGACTTTTTTTTTTACTGAAGTATGTCAGATCAGTGTAAGGGCCAGTTTTACATTCAGGAATAATAACAGAACTACCAAGACACATTTGACTAAAAGTACAGTCTTATTCCTTTGATTCCTATGTTGCTTTTTATAATCTTCCCTTCAGACAGATCTGACCTAATGGATATTAATGTCATGGGGAGTTTGTCAGTGACATCTGGATCTTTGAAGCAAACCTTCTTATGTCATGCTAAATTAAGTTTTCCTGTTTCTCAAGCCAGAGCACCTGTTTTGTTTTTGGTGGTGTTTTTTTTTTTTTTCTTTCCCATGAATGCTATCTCATCTATGAGGACCTGGAAAACAATAAAAGTCTAATCAATCAAGTGAAATAGAGCAAAATTGCCTTTGCATAAATAGGAAACTAAGGAGAAAGAGTAGAATACAGAAGTAAGGGAAGAGATACTAAGTATGCAGAACAAGATAATCTGAGTAGTATATTTTTATTGAAATGATGGTATGGAAAAATGTGTCTTAGTAAAGCAACATTCCTGTTGCAGAATATTAGTCTTACATGGAGTTACATACATTTATATATATTTTATCAAATTCATAAAAGGTCAGGTCAAAACAAACTGTGGAATTCAGAAAAGTATGAAAAATCATGACGTTCCCAAGGGCCAAAAGCAGAGCTGCTGTGAAAAGGCACAACTCCATTTAGTCCTGGGTGTGCAGTACAATATTCTGTTGCTGGAAAAAGGAGCCTTGTGTATTATCTTTGGTTAGGCTCGCAGCAAACATTAACATTTTAACACAGATGACTGAAGGGTTCCAGGCAAGGGCTGTATTTTATGTCCATTCAGTGTTCATATCAAATTAAGTACAAATGGACTGGGGTTTGTGCTACCTCATTTTTTGTACAACAATTCTGAAACTTCTGAGACACCAGATTTGGTTAGCTTATGGATTTTCCAATAGTCACCAAGAGTGGCTGAATAAAGAAGTGTGAATTATTCTTGCAATTACCTTTCACTCTGAGGCAGATAATCATCGTTAAAGTGCATTAAATATGACCTGCAGCTATTTGATCTTGTGCTCTAACCCTCTCAGCTCTTCTAAAATAAACAAAGGTGGGTGGATCAATAGTGAGATGGTTTCATTCCAGAAGAAGAGGAGGTGCAAGAGGTACAACAGTGCCTATTATGTCATTACTGAATAGATGTTCCTGCACACTGCACTGCAGTGATCATCTAAATGAAAAACTCCATGTATTTGAGACCTCTGAGGCTACACCACTATCATAGTATGCCACTTCTCCCTATACCCCATGAGCTCTTCCTTGTGTTCTTTCCCCACCCTACAGTGGCTTGACACTACTGAAATAAAAGAAGGATGCCATATACTTCTCCTTAACTCACTGGTGTAGCCTGTTGTTTGGTTGCACATCCTTTCTACTCGCAGCTGATGGGAAGCCACCAAGCTAACAGCACCTGCCTAAATCCCATGTGAACTGGGCAAGAGGACAGGCCCCTGGGTCTGACTGTACAGAGAAGCAAGCCTAATAGCAATGTGCTAGTGGAGCTGATTCTTTTGGGGTGTAAGATGGTTATATATATGGCCCTTTCTGGTGAAAAGAACCCCCCAAACCTAACTCAAAAACCAGTTTGGCCTGTTAACCTGTCCAAGTTCTATTTCATAACATTATATTGTACCAGGATTCATCCTGCCATCTATGAAATAAATTTGGTGCCCCTTAATTTCTAGTCTAAAGTTACTCTTGTCTATTGCCATGAACTGATGAAGAGCTGCTTCATTTCACTAGCACATGAATGAAATCATCTATTTCCTTGCTTCCCTCAGTGATGCATTTAGAAACTTACAAAGGTAAGAGCGTCCACAGAGCAATTTGAAATCCTTACAAAAAAGGCACCATGACTATGCAAAGATCTACTGTCAATATTGGTGAATCAGCCGCCACGTGAAAGCAGGTTTCCGTTTTAGAACAACAAACAAACCCCAGTGGTATTTACTGAGCACTTTAAAGATAATAACAGCTACATAAATACCAAGAACTATTAAGGTTTCTTTGTGAAAAGGTTAATTGCATGGTGATAAACAGTATTGCAACTTTCAAGCCCATCTACAGGCAGAATAAGCACCTTTTGGTTACAGGGAAACCAAAACTAAAACCTGCCCTCTCTCCAAAGGCTCCGAGATGAAACAAATGCTCCCCCCAGGAAGGTTTCCACTAAAAGTCCTGTTTTGGTTGAATAGTGTCTTTGATGAAACTAGATTGAACTTCAGCCTGAGCGGGGCAGAGAAAGACTTGACAGGCAGTTCTCCACCGTGCAGCCTGCCCCCTGCCCCGCCCCAACCCGTGTGCCCTATCAGCCAACAGTAAGAAGAGCAAGGAGAGAGCAACAAGCCTCTCCCTTCAACCTGTGCTATCCCCACATTTCAAATTTTATTTAGAAATACGAAAAGCCAGCTATAGCCCAATATCACTGACTCAAAATAATGAGTAACTGCATCCTCTTGGAAGAAGGTCAGCAGATACTCTGTATGGGACGCAGCACGCCAGGTGTTCTTCACATGCCTGTTTAGAGCCCTGGCTGTGGTGACCTTTCACGGAGGCAGCTGGATACAGGACTTGGAAAGTCCTACTCTAAATGGTGGGGAGCAGACGTGCATCTTACCATGGACTGGCATATCTGAGGAAGCTCTTTGTTGAGTGGCTGCCCCTTTGGGGTGAGATGACTCTCCAAAGAAAATAAACCTGGCCACCAGCAGATACTGGACACCTGCACATTGTTGTCCCAGCTTGCTTACTTCAGCTGTTGCAGGACCACCATTGGCTTGCCTTGTTCTCTTTCTATGCTCTATTATCAGGAAAAAATAGGAGACCCTCACCAACAGTGGATGCTTCCACATTTTTAAGGAAGACTGATAACTACAGCCCATCTGATATTAAGAGTATTTACTGCATGGCTAATGATTATTCACCTCCTTTACCAATATGAAAGAGCTTTTCATCTTGAGTGTGTGGTTGTTCCCAATTGTTGATCTGAAGAAAATTCAGGGAGAAAGTTCAATATTGAGATCAGACTGCCCTAGAGTTCCTCTAGTTCTCTCCAAAACAATATGTTCATCTTCATCCCACTGGAGGCTCTAAATAAACCTGTCCTCTCCGGTGTTGTTTGTTGAAAAAGTTAGAGTGCAATCCCATCTAATGCTGCGCAACTTAAGTTCCCAATAAGGCTTTTGAGATTTCTGCTAGCTCAGTATTTTTTAGTTTTTTGCAGAACTTAACACTGGATACAGTCATCCTCTAAGCATCTTGCATAATTCTTTGATTCTGTACCAGTTCATCTTCAAGTTTCTCTTAGGCGCAACATTATTTTAATTTAAAAGCAGAATAAATTACCTAAACAAATAGACTTTTCTGGTATCTTATTACATTGTTGGAAAACTTAAGAGCTTTCCTCTTTAATGCTGAATAGAAATTGAATAGCAATTCCAGCATGCAAGCAAAGGTACATCCACTTCTATTCACCAGAGCATTGACTTCTTACCTAACTTACTCACAGACAGAATAACTTTATGATTTGGTAATATATGTGGCTAATTTTCACTACATAAATTACATTCATTTGTGCTAGCTCACTAAAAGATTTCCTTTTAACTCACTAAAGCAAAAGTGCAACAGTTCAGCTGAATCCTAGCCAGACATTTTTTAAGCAAGTAATATTTCATTTCCTTACAATCTTTGAAGGCAGGTGAAGTGCCTGTATTTATGTACTGAATTAACTTTTTACCTCAACTCACTATAAATTAGTCTCGAATGTTTTTGTGGCCAACATGGCATAGTATATACTGTTTATACTGCAAAAAATGGCTGGGTTTTAACGGGGTGTCTTACAGTACCATGGTTAAAACACAGCTCTTCACAAACCACCTGCAATTTGCACTGCTTTTTCCACACAGGCGTAGCACACTAAGTGTCTTAACCACAACAAAGGCCAAAACTGCTGTTGAAGAGTTCATTTTCCATGCCTGCATTAATTAGTGGGCCTGTTCAGTATGACTACGTGTTACCCTCACCAGCTGTTGAAACACCTGTATACTGTGCACGTCTCCCTTAGCTCGTGTCACAGACCTGGGTTACAAGTGTGTTGCATAGTAGCTGTGGGTATTAAACCATAGTGTCACACATCTGTGAGTGCAGAACATATGTGTACCACCTGTATAGCGTCTGTGCTGTTTGTTGTGCCCGACAGCTAAGTTTCTGATGTACTTGTGCCAGTGGATTTATGCCTATGTTGGTTTGCTAAGAAACTGGTCCTCCCCTACTCACAAAAATGCACATTTGTAAGGTTGGGGATGGATCCCATAGCACTGCATAGACATTGCAAAATCAACTGCTCCTCTGCGTTTCTGTTGCTGGACAGTGTCAGATCAAGATCCTATGACTGAGAGGACATTTCCTTGATTTTTGTTTGGTTGATAGCTTTTGGCATAATTTTTAATGCTCTTGATCGTTTTTACGGAGTCTCATGTAGTAGCAAAAATGTTACCAAAACCCTGGGCTGGCAGGAGGACCTTTCCTGCTGTGATGTTGAGGCAGGATCTCACCTCTAGCCTCGCGTGGCACTTGGAGGTAGAGAGGAATGATCTGAGCTAGTACAGTCGCCAAAGGGAGGGCAGAAGCACCATGGGGCTGTGCCAGGACCATCTGAATCCAAACAGCTGCAAGAATTGGGTCACCCTTCTGGCACAAGAGCCGAGTGCTCCCAACCCACACATGCACCCCCAGGCACCTGTTACAGGTATGTGGCCATGGGGATGCGTGTCTGATACGGCAGGAGTGCTCGCCTGTGTGGGGATGCGTGCTCTGCAGGCGTAGGGGAGCAAACGGTGGTGCTGGGAGCGGTGGGATCCTGGAGCACAGGCAGGGCTGCGGTGCAAACGCAGCTCCTGGATCCACCCCGCTCTCGTCACAGTCCTGTGTCCAGCGATGCTGGGCGGAGGCCTTAGCCCGTGGTGACCCTATGGCAAGGGCATCGTGCATTCAGGGAGCATGTACCGGAGAGGCTAATCAAACTGTTCCAACAAGCCCTTCTCAGGTAGCCTGGGTTTACTGTCATGCTGCTGTGGTCAGGGCACGTCTCTGTCAAACTGCATTTGCTACAGGGCTGCATTAGCTTTTCCTTTGCTTTTCCTTTGCACGGAGGAGTCGGAGGATGCGTTCATTTTTTGTTAGTTCTGCTGGCAGTTCATTTGCCTGGAACAAAACCAAAAAACTTTGAGGTTAGCAGAAGTGAAAGAGTATTTCCCAAATGTGGGCTAAAAGCATTAAACTCTAAAGAAGGTGTAACTGGGCATTACAATGATGTGATGTTTTCCAGTGCTGTCTCCACCACTGAAGGTACCTTAAGAAATTGTCTTTCATGTGGAAGTCTCACTTAAGTCTTCAAAATAATCCCAGCATAGAACTTCAGTGATCATCTTATTTTGTGCTGACTGTCCAGGCTAAATGGTATCCCTTGGGCTCCCTATGCTTCTGCCACATTAGTAACAGAGAGCATAGCTGCTGATTTTTTGGGGGAGATGAGGCAGGTCTTTGTACTAAAGTCCATAAAAATCTAAGGGAAGACTTAATTGGCTATGGAATAGTACTGCTATGCTGTAAGATTAGTAATAGAATATGAGTTTGGGGTTTCTTCTTTATTTATTGAATACAATTTTGGTAACATAAAGCATTTATAATGAAGCTACTTCTGAAAATCAGTAATTCTGTCCTTCAGATATACTCTGTTGTGCCAAATTGCACGTTACTTAAAAAAAAATTTGAAAAGTCAGTAGGAGAGGTTACAGCCATGGACTTTCTTATACTACACACCCTGCTGCTGCAAATCACTATCAGTAGCAGAAAAATCTCATACATCGTTTGGATTGATTATAGTATCAAACCAAAATTATAGTATCAAACCAATCAAACCAAATGAAGACTACTGTGTGACTGGTGTTAACTCTGCTGCCATCAAGTGGAATAATACAGAAATTAACAGCCACAGATATATTAAATGTGCAAAATATTTAGAAAGCATGTGCCTGATTACTTGTATTATAAGCTTTCATTCACTCACTCATAAACTGGACCATCTTAACACTGGTCTTAACACTAGGCCATCCATTCACAGCTTAACAAACCCAGCTATATATCAAACACTATCAGCAAACAGTTCAGAAACACACGTCAGAGGAAAACATTTTCATTGAAATTATCAAATATGTAAAGTTAAAACACTTTACAGAATAAAATCAAGTATTGTACATAGAAGTTGCCATTATTAAAAGAATGCAAAACTAATTAAGTAAACTAAAAGCTTTACAGTAAGATACGGGAAAGATGCACACAATTTTGGAGGAGTTTTTTTTTTTGTATTAGCAATGCCCTGAATTCTAACCAAATTTTCTCATCAAAGGTACCCAGATGCACATTCGTCTTTCTGCAGAAGTATCCTCCTTATACATCAGTATGGAGATAAGAATATAACTTATGACTTATCAAAACACTAACAGATTACTGTTTCCCTAAAATGCAACCTAGCTAGCGCATGACTAGTTATAGTTAACAATTTAATCTGTGGTGCTCTATTGAGTGAGTGAGTGGTTTATTCTCAGATTGACAAAAATTCTCAAGAACCAGCATCACCAGGGGCACTGTATACAGAAATTAATGGACTAAACGGTGGTGCTTCAGGAGAGGATCAAGAGGCAACCACAAAGCAACAGAGAAACATGGACTGCCCACACCTCCAAGGCACACACACACGGCTCCACTGCTCAGTGACCCCCACTTGCTCCTCAGCTGGGATGGTGTGCCAGGACATACCTTGTTCCTCAGGCATGGGTCCGCTCCTGCCTCAAGGAGCAGTGCCACTGTCCTCACGTTGCCACTCAGGACGGCTGCGTGGAGAGCAGAGGTCCCGTTCTAGAAATACCAATGGAGGTGTTTGTACCAGACATGGGAAGAAAGCAAAAGGCATTGAAACACAAATGTTTGTAAAGAACAAACCTATGAATGAGAGAGAAGTAACACAGAAGAGATTAGGCCATCAAAGGCCTAGTGTCTGATTTAGACAGGGTGCTGGCAGGTTAGGGGGCTATGAAGGAGGTGATTTTAAATGCTTTAATAAAAATGGGAGTCAAGTTCACTTTACCACAGCAATATTTCCTTTTAAAAATTACCCTTGTCAATAGATTAGAGGTGAAATGAACACAGCACTTGCTTCTGCCTGGCAAAATCAGTCATTAGCAAGTGAAACAGAAGCGCAAGCAGTAATGGAAACCATCTGTGCATTTTATCTTCTTTTTCTGATGATTAATGGCCTCACTGTCAGACAGCTGAATGGTGGGTTTTTTTATGGCTGGCCTTTTCTTTGCGGTTGCAAACTGACAGTTCAAATAACTGTGGAAGATATTTCATACTTGTAATTAACACCTACATTATCAAGAACATCAAATTGCCAATCTGTCGCATGCACAGAGGCTATCAAAGTATGTGACTCAGAGACACATAAAATTAGGTCAGTCATTAAAAAGTAGCTTCCAAATATATGTTATTTTTCAAGTCACTTTATGAATTCAGAGAAAACCAAAATAAAGTAGAGAATCTGCTTACAACATATTTCTTATGACACTATTTTGCTGACTAAATGCAGTAGAGGGCTGAGTATAATGCTAAAAATTGCACTGTTAAGAGCAATTAATTTATATTAGAAATAAAATCAGGTGAAAAAAAGCAGGAGAATTCCTTCTATGACACAATGTGCTTCCTCATTCCAAAAATTAAATTCCCAGATTTGTTTGAAAAGATTCATTTATGTGTGGCATTAAAGGCTAAATTAGGTAATTTCCTTTTTCTCTTGCCTTTTTTTGGGCTCAAGCTCCTATGGTCTTCCACTAGCACAGTCAAAAATGCCACGTCTTTCATCAGACCCTTTTCTTTCTTGAGATTCTGTCTAAAAATCTGTGTGTTTCACTACTAACCTTAAGCAGGCCAAGCGTGGGAGAGAATTTCAGCAACTCTTCTATCACGTTGTTGTATCCCTTAATGGCAGCCTTCAGTAATGCAGTCGTACCATCCTTTAAAAGAGAGAGGAGGTCAGTTCGGCTGTTATGGATGCTTCACCTGCATTCCCCTTGGCTGGAGGGAAATGCCAGCTCTCACCCACGCCTCTGAGAGGAAGGTCTCCTTTGCTCATTGTCTTTGAGAAGGCACCTCCACAGCATGTGCTGCTGGTTTTAGGGCACCTGGAGGATTGTTCCTCTGGCAGGTGAAAACTCTGGGGGGAAATGAACCAGTGACACCATATATCGATCGCCTTTGTCTCTCATCTATGTGGACATTTCCATTTCCCTATTCCAGAAGGTACCTCCGGGAAGGTGTCCCAGACACAGCAAGAAAAAGGAAACCCACGGTGGGACTTTTCAACTTGGCAAACAGGAAGGACTCTGGGGACACCAGGCCTCCAGACAGTCAGAGCTACAGTCCCTTGAAAAAGCTAGGGGGCATTAAGCTGCAGATAGAGTGCAGGAAGAAGTGCTACTCACATCCCTCGCAGCGTCTCGCTCAGCACCGCGGAGCAGCATGACTCGCACCACTTCACTGTGACCCATCTGTGAGGCGATCCACAAGGGAGCTGTCCCATCCTGCAAGCAAAATAATACTGCTAATGGTTTCACCTCGATGTCCTGGGCTCTCTGATATTTTACTGCCCAAGCCTACTGGAATGGATGTACTTTGATTACTCAGTGAAATCCTGCATTACAGGGAGACATATTCAGAGCTGTGTCCAAAAACACTTGGGAAGTCAGTGTATCAAGTTAGAACTGCTTCAGTTTGTGGAACAGAGCCACCCTTACCTGCTTTCTTTTGCATAGTTGGACAGAAATGTGCATTGTTGTGCGAACAGTTAAAACCCAGTCAGGCACCTTCTGTGCTTAAAATACACGGGTAAGTTTGAAACACAAAGACTAAAGGTATGCTGTGTACTTAAAACTGTAGGTGGTTGGATGTGACAGAAGATACAGACAAACCTCAGCATGCACAGGCAGATTCTGCAGTTGGCTGTCCATACATAGGGAGTGAAAGTTGTTTAAAGAAGCTAGGGAGCAATGCAAGATGATCATCAACTTTCAATATCAGGTTACATTATACACCCTCAGGGAATCTGGTAAAAATGTCCTGCCTTACAGTGATGGGGAGTATTTTACAAATTTTACCTTCAAGAGCTCCACTAGAAAACAAAGTAATTACCAAGGAATCCAACATGAAGCAATCTGGTTTGGAAAAATTGTCCTATGACAGCATTATTTGAGCATAAACCCCTAAAAAATGAAATGCACTTTCAGAATAAGCTAACTTTGTGATGGATTTTCATCTCAAAGGCAAAAGTGAATTGAAGCACTACAAGTATTTCTCACTGTAATTAGAATTTGATTTTGTGTCATCTTCTCCTTTTGCTTCTAAATGGCCTGATCGAGACTACAGGAGAACTCCAACAGCTATGTGGTGCCAAACTGATTCTTGTGGGCCTTTAACAAAAGGCTTTGCCTGTTTGGACTTTAACATAAAAGTGAGGCCTCACATTGGAGGGTGTCTGCTTCTGCCTTCAGCGCTTGCCAGTTCCCCTCACCACCCTTAGCAGCCTGAAGACTTGGCCTGAAAATGGAAGACAAAAGGCTTCCAAAAGGGTCTTAATGAGAAGTTTCAGAAGAAATCAACTTTTTACTTTAAATAAAATATTTCCACCTTGATCAAAGAAGTAATCTTTCTTCTCAGTGCCAAATGACTTGGCTCATGCAATCCAAAAAACCATTGTAGTACCAGTTTTCTGCTTTCTATGGGCTAGACTTAATCTTTTCGAGGAAACAGAAAAGTTATTTCTTTCTTTGATATAATGTTCTGGGCTTTTCTTTTTCTGATTCTGAGAAAGAGTAAAGGCACATCCTGTGATCTTTAATATTCTCAAATAATCAGGAACAGGATCTCTGCCCACTCATGCCTAATTTCTCTATAAATTAACTCTTTGAAACTAGTGATTCTAGTATATATCCTGTTATTGCTATGAGTGTTCTTTGTCATTAAAAAATAACAAAGGCTGTGTTGTATACAGCACGTGTGATATTACTGCAATGGCAAGAACTGTCCCTCTTCAATTTATAGTGTTTTCCCTACCTGTAAGCTGACACTTCATATTTTTCTAATCTCCCCCCAGCAGAGGGCTCTAGAAAATAGCAATAAGGACACTGGAAAAGCCTTAAAAATTTGGAAAATATCTGAGAGCCGCCTACGATTTAATCTATATGAAGAACCAATGTTGTGCAAATCCACACGTGTATTTACACAAGAAATACAAATACAAGCTCAGCACAGGGAATATAGCAGCTTTTTTTTTACTCACAGTGAAGTTTTTAGGAACAACTCTTATTTTCAGGTATAAATGAAAAGAAGCATAAGGAAATACAAGTGTTGGGTAACATCACTGCTACCATTAACTGTCCTTAAATAATATTGCTGTTAGACATCATCCTTGGTGTCTCAGTTATAGGCTAGAGGCAAAAATACATTATGAGAAAGACTGGCTGTCTTGGAGGACTTAGCCTGAAGAGAAGAAAGATTCTAAAACTGATGGTAAGCTCACATTGACTATGGTAATTTTCATTCTTTTGAGCAAACAGCATCTAACATGCAGGTTTATGCAAGTATGTATAATATTTATACAGCATAGATGAGCTTCTGTCCATTTTCATGTTGGTGAATGGTGCAAAAGAGATACTACATTTTACACATGAGAATTCATGTGTAAACAGACAATAAAGACTGAGTCAGGAAGAAAGTCCAAACACTACTTTCCTTTCCTTGTCCCTCTGCCCACCCAGCAGACTCCATACTATTACATTCCTAGAACAATATTAAACACCCAATATGTTTGTAAATTGGGGGTTTTTTCCATATTTGACTACAAGCTAGTATATATGGACTACACCTTATTACATCTAGCAGCCAGCAGTTCCAAAGATATCCTGACTGAAATTTCTGATCCTCTTTCTCTTACCATTAACTAATGACTTTGCTTTGCAGCTTTAAATCTCAACTTTTGCTTATGGCTTGAAGTTTTAGGAGAGGTCAGAGTAGGGTGGGAGGTGAAAGACCCCTCGAATTACCAGTAGGAGCTTCCAGGGGCACAGACCCCCTACTCTCAGGCTACTCAGTGTCATCTCCTCCACTGCTATGTCCGTCAGTCCATTTGCACCACTACACCTAATTTGCTAATAGCAAATTGCTTTTTTGCCTGTAGTCTGCTCTATATAGGTTTACTGGCTTACATGTAAGTGTAATTGCATACCACGTGTTAAGAAAAAAAACATTATTTTTCAGATTATTTTGAATCTACTTAGCCAGACAGACTAAAGCCTGCTGAGACACAGGCTGCCAAAACAGCGTGAAATTCACTGGCAAAGAATCTTATAGCTTTGTTTTTTGAGCTGGAGAAGCATAGAAATCACTCCTGCACCAGGCGTCAGACAGTGTGCCCAGCTCTGTCTAGACAAAAAGATGACAAAAGAATTCCTGCCCTGCTCCTCAATATTGGAAAGAACAGAAGGCAACTAAAACCTAAGAGAAATCACATTAGCAGGAACAAAACTTTCCAGGAAGCTTCACTATTTGGTCTTCTGAGAGCTGAGCTAAAGGGCCTGCACACAGACAGCCAGTACCATCTGAAATGCTCTATGGTGTCACGAGCAATGCTGTGGGATGTGGGAGGTGGGACACCAAACTGAAGGGGAACTGGTACCACTGCAGCAGGAGGAGACATACAAGGCAGATGCATGTGCTCAGGAACATGAATTAGGCCTCCAAATTCTCAAGGTAGAGAGAAAAAGCTCGATACCATGAGGAAAGAGAAGCATAAACTCACATCTGGCACTCTGCAGTCCTGTAGTAAGAGGTAATGTTGCCTGGAAGTTTCCTACCACAGTGAGAGCAATGTAGCTTGTAACAGACAGTGAGAGTCATCTGGCATCAAAACTGCCCCATCTAGAGCTACATTCCTCATGACCAACATGCCACCTTCGAAAAAAGTACAAATTGGTTTGTTAGTAAGAAAGAGACTTAGATCCATCCAACCATTACTTGACTAATTAAACAGTAAAAAATTTCCATTTGTTAAGGAAATGTTTCAGATTACAGTGGGCCCAAATACAAATGCCACGCACTTATCCAGGCATAATCTTAGCAGGGATCGGAGGTACCCTGAAGCAAAGTAAGCCTGTCCTGCTGGAGATGAAACAGAGGAGCCAGGAGGAACAGTCACACAGAGACAAGTATTTGCCTCAACTAAGATTTAAAAATGCCTCGTGAAACATTATGTTGTAGAAATTGGATTAGAGAGCTAAAAAAATAGTGTCAGAAAGAATTAGCTGGTGCATGATAATTACAGTTAGCAGAATGCAGTTTTTATGGCAACATGGTTCAGCTAAATCTGACGCTCAGCAGCTCTATTTTGAATGACTCAAAAGGCATGAATGCATACTTTGGTCTTTCCTTCTATACTGATCTTTTAGACTGTGTTAATTAACAGGCCTTAACATTTCTTAATCTTTTTCCTGGGAGACAGTGTGAAGGCAACCTAGGAACAGCTAATGCATCGATCCAGGGAGCAGCTGCCAGCACAGCTCTGTGCTGGGAGGTGGGGGTAGGAACAGAAAGAAAACCACTTTAATTTGGGCACTTCAAATAATAATTCTGTTCCTTACACCCCAGCCAGGACTGTACACAGACACCTACAGATGCAGCAAAAGTCACATATGGATCAGTCTCTGCTGCCAAGCTATGATTTGTCAGGCTTTCAGTGTAGATGAAAGGAAATACTGAAAATACCTGGCAAAGCTTGTTGCATGCCACGTTGTCCACTGTTATTAGAGTTTTCACGTTCATTTGCTCTTGCCTGCTGATTTTTCACTTGTTGCAGTCAGTGATCACAGCCACCTGGCAGACATACATGACTGATTGTGAGGACACGACCTTATCCCATCAATTTCAAAAGTGCAGTGAAGACCCAGGACAGCAACCTTGCCTGCAGGGTTTCAGCAGACCACAGTGGAGGTTCTCTCAAAGCAGGTAGAGATTCCTGTCTCTAACCAAACATTTCTATGTGCTGGGTTGTAAAGCTAGCTGTGCAACTGCCACATCTGGCTGTTTAGGCGCTGATTTTAGAGTCAAGAAACAGCTAAACAATTATGAAACCCTTTTTTGGAAATTAAGAGAACTTTTATACATGTCTCTGTACACCACGCATGCTTACCTATCCCATGGTTAAACACCTAGAAAGCCTCTTGATCTCTCACCTAATACCATCATCCAGTGATGCACAGTGGATCTAGCCCTTAAACCCCTAGCAAGGACCTCTGAACCAGCCACAAATCCAGCTCAGATATATCATTTGATGATCAAACAACAGCCCTATTGCTTGCAAAGGAGCTAATTTCATGTTTATGGCTGCCACTGGTCATATGTGTTTGCAGGACCAAGTCCACTAGAGTAAGCAGCTGGAAATGGGAAGAAAGACTTTCCACATGTTTCAAGAACTTCCAGAGATGAAGGTAACACTCATGCTCGAGTTTCAGAGTGCATAGGGGTGACAAAGTAGAACAAACAAACAAAAAAGTAAAACTAAAAATAAAAGCTTTTGTCAAAGATCAATTTTGACACCAAAGCCACAGTACTGAGGGCCTGGTGATTTCAATATATAGATAACAATATACTCCCCCTAAAATTCACGATTTTCAAAAGCTTTCCAAAGGATTTCCTAAAGAACTCACGGATGTGGTAGGCTGTGTAGACCTTCACAGGTAACATGGTACCACACAAATGGTCAGTAGTCGCAAAAGGTAGTGCAAGGCTCTTATATCAACATTATATACAGTTTTGTTGTGATTTAGTTTTTAGTCCCTGGCCAAAATGTGCATGCTGTTCAAAGCTGTTCAAATGAGCAGTCAGTGGTTTGATCTGTTTTACAATCATAGAGTCATTTAGGTTGGAAAAGCCCTCTAGGATCATCGACTCCAATCATTAACCCACTAGTGCCAACTCTACCACTAAACCATGTCCCCAAGTGCCACATCTACATGTCTTTTAAATACCTCTAGGGATGGTGACTCATAGGGTGTAAACACAACTGGTGCAGACCTGGAACAGAGCTTTCAGTTTCACTTCTTCCAAAAAATGATCTAGTTCGCATGCAAGCAGAAATGACTGAGATACATCAAAATCACATTACCAATCTGAATTAAAACAGAGAATGCGGGCACAGCCACAAACTGCCTTCTCGTGAAACACCTCCATGGGAACCTAATTTTCTATAACTGTAAAAAAACTGGAACACAGTTCTGCCCCAAGGTGTTGAGCATACCTGCCGTGGCTGGTTAACCTTTGCTCCTGAAGAAAGCAGCAGTCGGATGACATCCAGATAGCCTCCTTGTGCCGCCAGGAAAATTGCAGAAGCTCCATCCTAAGAACAAACACATCCATCTTACACTGTGTTGAAATAACACCATTTTCCTACACGAAATTAAATCAAACTGAATCAATTTCTCATTCCTAAGTCAGTACGCTGTGTAACAGCAGATACAAAGACATGCTCAAGAAATAATTACCAAAATCCACAGTCTAGATCATAATAAACTATGGCAACATTTTCATTCAGTATGCACAAGTACTGGCTTCCATCATATATCAAACTGACCTTTAAATCCTGGGTCTGGAATACTAAGAGTCTAGTTGATTGAAGCACTGACCGACACAACTAGAAATTACTTCCTGTATAGCAATATAGGTTCATTTAACTTTTATATGCTCGTGCAAAGTGTTCTGCTACGCAGACACATGGTGAAAACATGTTCAAGTACTTTGCAAGACTGGAGACTCCAACACTGAACTCTCCTCTTGAGGCTGAAGAAGTAAAGACTGTGCCATACTCTTGTGCTACCCCAGCAACTACCATGCCACTGCTCTGCAACAGCTTGTAGAAGAGACTTCACCTAAAATATAGCAATCTAAAAGTATTTCATAGACCTATTAGAAACCAGAATTTTCCTGCAAAAAGCTTGCGAAAGAACAAATTGTGAACAACTACAGGGTTTTATTTTTCTTCAACATGCCTTTCACGTGCTGACATTCTCAGAATTTGACTTCACAGAAACTTCTCCCTTGGGAAGAAAACTTAAAAGTCATATTACATTAAGTTTTTTTGATGATAATCCATCCAACCAAGTAGAAGCAGAAATCTGAGGGTGGAACAGGTGTTTACTCATCCTATATCCACAGCATTCAGCACAGAGCGTGCTCGGGCAAGTTTTCCCAGAAGCTGAGACTCTCTTAGTTTAAATAGAGACGTGAATAAACCCCCTCACTGCATCTCAGATGTGCAAGTACACATCTCACGCCAAATCAGGCAGATGCTTATCACAAAATATAGGGCATTTTAGTGAAAGCCTGTTGTTGACCTTGCTGACCTCGTTGGCATATCACCATGTCAGGACTGAATGCTGTTGTCTGCAGAAAGAGTGCTTAGCTACTCCTCTTCCCGCAAAACTCAGCACAGACTTGGTGAAGCATGAACAGAATATAATGCTCCAGGGACTGAATTTAGAGTGTCTGACACTGATTTCAAGACAAATGTCCTGGTAAACAAAAGAGGTGTCTGCTGGCACCATAAATGCACACCCCTCTGGGCTCTCTGAGGGGCTGTTCTCTTTGGTTGCTATGTGAGAAAAAGGGTCATGGTGTCAGAGCCTTTGCAGGCTTCCCCTTGAGACAGATATATTGAGAACACTTCAATTTAAAAAGTAAACAAGGTTGTGTGATATTAAAAAAGCTCTTTATTATAGCATCAATCAAGATGGAGAATCTTGCATTCCCTGACACCTATTTGGTTTGAATTGATACTGCAATGAGAAAGCTGTCTTGAGGCTATAACATATTTCTGCAAAAAATACTATTTAATTAGGGTATTCTCTTGTCTTCTGCCCTCTTGACCCCTCATCTGAGTCTATTTCAGACTAAAACATAGATCTCAATGGTTTTGGGGACAAGTATCCAAAGGTATGCTGGAAATCCCTCTCATTTGGCTGCCTGCCAGTGAAACTGCCATCCAGATACCACTTTGCAAAATGCAGCTTGGCCATGTCCCACAAAACACTTATTTTCAAGAGATCATGTTCTTGTTTTCTTAAGCAGCTCTTTCTGAATGGCTTTGCCCAATGTCTGTGAGCAATAAAGATACATTTCCAAATCCGATTGCAAATATTGCTCATTTCCAGGAGAGACAACAAGGAAGTTATTTTACTGCCTTCACCTCTGGATAAGTGTCTGCAGGTGTGGCAGCACGTCTATTTTTAAACTGAGTGGCAACCCCTGGGATTACCGTACAGAGGCATGAATCACTGCCCTCAGATTAGAAAGACAATTGCTATTGGCACAGCAGAAAGGGAGGAACATCCTTCTTTATAAATACAGGGTGAGGACAGAACCAAGGTGGGGACCCTCCATATGACTGTGCACAGCTCCCAGTGGCTTCTGCAGTCAGCAGCCCCTCAGCTGGGAACTGAGAGTGCAACAGCATCCTGCACATCCAGAGCCCGTGGAAACAGCTGAAAAAACTCGTATATCCTGGGGGAACAACTTTCTCTTTGTCAGTCTTGAGTGCCCGGGGGTAAGAAAGAGTGGTGGGAAGCAGAGGGAAAACCCGCCACTGGTTTCTGTTGAACACTGAAAAGTTCAACTTATCTGTGTCTCTGTTGGAGTAAATTAAATCCAGAGCTTCACTGGCTCAATCCAACTTTCTGAAAAGTCAACTAAATAACATCAGTTCAGCCATTTTAACCATTCTTTGCCCACAACACTGGCAAACTGGAGATTCACAAATACCAAATAACATAATTTTAACTAATACTTTAAAAAAATACTTTGAAGACATTTAAAGATTTTAACTTTTACCACTCTTTCTGACAAAAAAAAATGATGTCTATAGTACATCAGAGGCTTCATAGCTATTTACTCTTCTACAGATCATGGCAGAACATGACATGATCTTTTGTTCAAAGCTGATGGATAGCATAAGTCTGATCCAGATTTAGTACATATCTTTCATACAGATACCAAATCAAAAGGCAGCCAAGCATCTTTTGTGATTTTGTGCTACTTCTCTCAGCATCACGAAAAGCAGACAGTTAACAAAATTCACATCTTAGAAGAGCGGAGTACTATAAAACCACAACATTTGGCAAACGCCTCCCTGTGCTGGAGCCAGAGTGTCTGCTGTCGTCCAACCGACAGCACATTTGTTCCACCACCATCGTTGTCAATATTATGTGTGTCGAATAACTCACGTAGAGCTGATCGTGAATGTTGGCGCCGTGCTTCAACAGAGTTTCCACTACTTTTGCGTGCCCGTACTGACAGGCAGCCAGGAGAGCCGTACCTCCATCCTGTGAAAAAGCAAAGAATGGGTACAGCCAGGTGAGAGGGCACATGCCAAAGGCTTTAAAGCTTTTCAGAATCTGGCTCACAGCAGTTCTGTAGTGACTAGCTACTGAATCTTTCATAATTTTATTACCAAGTCTCGCCACATAAATCTTTAAACTTGGCTCTGTCATTATTTTTCTCCTGAGTTTTTTTAGGGAGGGATAGGAACAAGGAAAATTCTGGGTTTTTTTCTTCGTCTTCTGCCTTACCACTAGAAGCTTTGTTCCCTTCACAACTCCGAGCACCTCCAGTCCCTTGCTCTTCTTTGACAAGAACCTTGTGCCCTGTTGCGTCCTGCTTCTAATCTGTGGATTTTTGGACTGAAGACAAGTAGGGGGAAAGGCGGAAGCATTTTAAAGTATACTAGCTAATTGTAGAAGTCTGAATTGGACCAAACCCATCAATCACCCTGTTACCTCTGCTTAAGAAACAATCCCTGCAGATAGGAACAATCCCAGGCAGCTATAGTTGCTGCACATGACCACTAAAGGGAGACCTAGGCACATGCATCAAATCCTTCTTGTAGAGACACTCCCTTGGGAGACATCTGAGAAGGGAAGCACCTCAGTGTTGCTGGCAATTGACTCTGAACCAGCTTCGAAACAAATGAGATAGCAATCATAGGTCTTGCCATCTTAAGTTCGCTGTGACCCACTCCAAAATTACCAGTATTTCTGACACTGATTTGAAGAGGAAGTTCCTCTGCCTGGGATGGAACCATGCTGTCATGCAAAGATGATGCACAGCCCAAAACATCCACACCACAGGTCTTCTCTCTCCTTCCCTGCCTTCTCCCAGTCTCCAGGCTCTCCTCCACAAGATAAGCTATCTAAAGTATTTCAGACAAATGGTTTCTAGAGCTGTTATTAATGTGGCCACAAGACTGTGTTTTTCCTCAGACTTGTTCTCTGAAACAGCTCCAAGGTTTTGTCTGAAATTTTCCACACAGACAGATATCCTCAAAAGCAGTTACAGCTTGAATGGCTTAAATGGATCTTTTATAATGGGAAATGCCAATCAAATTTATTAATCGGTGGTGCTATTTAATGGATATATTAGCCCCATGAAAACTCAAGCTCTGACACGACTGAAACAACCCACGGGCACTGTTTATAGCTATTCTCAAAACCCCATATTTACCCTTCCTTCCTACAACATTGAAAAGCAAAGAACACTTGAATGTCAGAGAAATCACAGATGTGAGACTGTTGTGTGACAGTCTAATGATTGCCTATTAATTCTGGATTATTTGAGTAAATATAGTGTGTGATCAGGTCAGTGGAGTTAAGTTTCTCTTTAGATACAACGAGATATTAGACATTCATGCCAAATTAAACTACTGTAATTTAATAGGAACTGCTGGAACAAAACACAAAACCAATCACTATTGTTCCCGGATTAAAAAACACCTTATACACACTTAAAAGACAATGGCAAAGCTAATAGCTTTGTGAAACCTGTTTCCTGTCTCCAACCAGCCGAAAGCCACTTCGCTCAAGTGGTGACTTAGCAGATCAAAGGAATATAAAAAACCCCCCAGACATTTTTAAAGGCTCTTCCCCCCGAAGGAAATTGAGAGAGAAAGGTTAGTGAATTAAGAAGAGAAAATATGATATTCGGATTGGAGGTTCTCGGTGGAGAGGCAGGGAAGGATGAGTTTTAGGAACCTTAAAAATGTTGAGGTTTCCTGGATGGAGAGTAAATAGGCATGCTCAGTGAGTTGCATACAGGAAAAATCTGTTTATTACTTTATGATCTGGCTTTTGTTTTCTAAAATTTTTGTGTTCTCAATAAATTCCTCTTATTTTTGGAAGATTGATTGGTTATTACCGTAATTTCTGTCGGGAACCAACTGACAGCTCCCAAATAAAAGACAGGCCTGCAAAGCTAACCACAGTTAGCATGGCAGAGCTAAAGCCCAGCTTGGAATTGAAATGTGTGATCCCACCCTGGGAGATGTTAGCTTGGGGTTTCAGAAGGGCAGCACTACCTCCCATGAGATGTCTAAGTGACTCAAAATGGAGATCCTGATCAAGTGTTTGGTTCAGTCCAGTGAACAGTTTTAGACAGATATATTTTTTTGAAAGAATAACACAATTCCAAAATACACCATTTGGATCTTTCAGATTAGAGTGACCAAGTTTTCCTAGATCAGCCTGATCAGAGTCCAGGGGTCAAAAAAAAAACCTCACTGAGTGGTCCCCACTCTGAATCAAATATTTACTGGGTCAGAAAGAACTGGGTAAGATCTTGGCTCAAAGATTTGGTCCCTGATCAGGAGGACAACTGAGCTCAAAGACCTGCTCTACTGCATGTCTGAAGTATGAAGCTGAATACATTCAGCAGAAGGGACTGGGATTCCTCTGCATGCTCTGAGTTAGGGGTACCACTGTGAAAAAGCAGATATAGATCTTTCTGTAAGAAAGGGAAGTTGGGGGCAGGAATCTTTTCCACTGACCATGTGGTAAGACAGCACTTAGTTAAATCAAGGAATTGTCAAACAGTGTAAAGGTCCATTGTTTCTCAGAAGGAGAAAACTCATCCCCCTTATCACCCCTGCTGAGCTTCCATCTGGCTTTCTCTTACACTTTACTCCAGAAGGCTGTAGCTGGGGACCCCAGTGTTTTACAGACTGTAGGGAAAGTAGATAAGGGGGGGGGGGGCAAAAAAAGGAAATTACAGAGTTTTAATATCCCTTTCAGCCATGTGATTCCCTCTTTCCTTTTTGGCTTCAGCTGAGACAAGTAAAAAGCTGAAGCAGCATCTTTGGTACTGGCAAGCCTCTTGGAAACTCTGAGCAGTTCAGCAAGTGGGAGCTGGACACGTGAGCAAGCGCTGAGGCGCTCCTGGGGCACTTGCCCTTCTGCAGTGGGCAGGAGGCTGCTAGTGCAGCCTCTGAGAGAAAGCACGTGGCCTTGAGTTCATTTCACGCTCATATCCTGTTTTCCTGACACAATGAAGCTTCTATTACTCCTGCGTAGCGAACCCTTCCAGCTCAGATAGGAGCCAGTTCTCTCAGCTACCTCTGCAATTGTTCCCCAGAAGTCATTTTTCTTACACCCCGAGTCTGTCCTCCCCACTGACAGCACATTACAGCAGCTGCCAATCTCCAGCGTAAGCAACTGAAACAGCAGCACCCAGTAAGGCCACTCTATTTGCCTACCCTTCCTTCGCCTGTCATCGCCTGAAAGCAGCTTAGAACTTTGTTTTACCACCTCTGAAATATGCTACAGGGGAGGGGGAACTGATCTTCTGCAATCACTACCTGCTGAAAAACAGCCTCTGACATACCCCTTGACCTGCAGTACTGCTCGGAAAACATGCCACCTTGCAAACCCTTTTAAGAACTCACATGCTTATAACATGTATCAGAATAAAAGAAAAAAAGTTTCAATCTATGTTACATACTTTTATGGACTTCAGACTGGGACAATGCAGAATAATATTACTGACTAATATGTACATATATAATATATAATAATTAACCTTCAGTAGTATAATCCATTCTCTTTATAACATCAGTTTTTATTGCTAATTATTTTATTACACTGTGTTAGAATGCTTGCTTTGCCTGCCATAGCAAATATCAACTCTAATGACACAAGGGGTAACAAGAATTACATGCCTATATTAAGATAGTTCTCCAGCACTCTTGTATATGAGTAAGAAATGTAGCAATTACAATTTACAGATAAGTGCATGAAAAGATGTTGGGCTTTTCGTTTCTTTGTTTTAAAGTCTCTGTTTCCTAAAATACATTCAATTTTCTTTTTCTTATGTTAATTCCATGTCTTCATTTATATATATTCTTTGCAAATTGATCAGTTTTGCATCGCCCTTTTAAAACAGCCAGGATCAACCATACCTTTTCCAGTGCTGCTCCCAGCTGACTGTCTTAGTCAGAAAATGCTTTATCTCTAACCTGAAAAGGTATATTTTGTCAACTATATTGTTTCTGGGGTTTGGGAGGGATGGAGGAAGGCCTGTTACCTTGGTCACCTGTTAAGAGAACAATGGAATAATTCCAGGCTATGAAAATCACGTTATTGAATCAGAAAACTGGACTGACACAAAACCACACTAGCAGGCCAACGGAAGACGTGTACTGTCAATGTACTACATCTCACCGATGTCTCGTGCTCAAATGCAAACTGCTGCACAGAGTAGTTAGTTTCTCACCTAGTCTCAGTCTAAAAATTCACTGGGTTACCAAAGTCCAGCCTGGAAGCTGTAAACATTTGGGTTCAAAAGAGCTGCAGTATCCAAGCAAGGAATGAGTGAAAGAATGAACACGGAAATTTCCAGGATAGGTCCCAGCATTAATGGTGCATTTAGCAAAACACCCATACTACTACTGTCCAGAGAGAGCAGATCCTCACAGCAAAGAGGTCATGGACATGATAGTCAATCTCAACTTCTTAAACATATCACTTTCATCTGGCACATGTTCATAGCAACTCAGCTATCCTTTGTTCAGCTTCTGAGAGCATTTTCAGGCACTATAGCTTGTGTCACACTTTTCAGACACTATAGCTTGTGAGCGCTGAAGTGACTGATACACCTCTTGTAGAAGGATGAGAAGGAGGGAGTACTTGGACAGGCATGCTGGGTGATGCTACTGAAAAAGGGCCTCACATGCGCATCACACACCAGTTTCTCATGGTATGTCCATTGGGAGCTGGTGTTTTCTTATGATCAGCTTGTGTGGAAGTGGCAGAAAGCTGTGGTCTGGAGAGGAAGAGCAACCTGCAGCATAAAAGATACTTCGGACTGGCATATGGGCCAAGTCAGATCTGGATTCAGAAGAAGAGGTAGGGAAGAAAAGGGAGGCTGGGGGCAAAGTTTCAAGGTGAGCAACAGAAGAGCCCAAATTTGCATTTGTCTGAAGATTCAAGTCATTTGGAGCAGCTGAATGCAGAAATATTTCTTTTTAATCTAGATCTTTTCTCCCTTTTATCTGCCCTAGGGTCTTACATCAATATATTTTGCATGCTTCATAAAAGATCATATATTGTCATGAAGGATCAGACAATTTCAAGCCTGCTGTTCATCTTCTGGATCAAGTCTTGGCCTCTTCACAAACTCCTAGTTTACAGTCTGTGGAAAGATTCAGTGAAAATGTAATTGTCCCTCTAGACAGAACAAGGTACTGAGCCTCCGACTTCCCAGCTGAATGCTAGGGAAGATACTCTTTCTGAATCTTGCTAACCCTCACCTACATCCTGAAATAAAAGTCAGAGAAGTGATGCTTTTTTTAATGTGCAGCTTTACCCAATAAATCCGTCCCACAAGACATTATCCAGTACTTTAAAATCCAGCTACTGTATTTAACATTGTAACCTCCTGCATTGCCAAGTTCCACGGCTGCACTCGCTGTTGTGTTAAACAGCTACAGTTTCATTCATGCTGCTGTGGTCAGAGAGCTTCTCACCACAACTATAGCTCCCTGGGGTACTGGAATACTACTTTAAGGGCATGTATGGACTCTGTCCACAAAACTGCGTGATTTTTAGCCCTTGTAGCATAAAGAACTGAGTTTCTGATGTTCCATCAATTTCCTTTGTATTTAGAGCCTATATTTCCAGGGACTGCAGAAAGCAGGTATGGATTGAGGGAATCATTCAAATCACAGAGTAGAGTATCTTGAAAAATTGGGTACTGTGAGGTAAAGAATTATTCCTTCTTCAAACACAATGCTATGGGTTGCAAGGTAAGTGACTGGCAAGTGTCCTCCCCAGATTAGGGGAATGCTTCAAGATGTGGCTAGCACATCAAGGACAAGTATGTTTAATTAAAATATGTTGCTTTTGATTCTGTTTGCTGAAAGTAGAGGTGCTAGTACTGCCTTAGGCAAAGAAATTGAGTTGATGTACTGCTGTCAATGATGAACTGCTGCTTCTGTTGATGTTGACCCCATAAGTGGTGATGAACTTGGGCTCTGCTGCCTGTGCTTTTGACTGTTCTAAGATGCTGAAAAAGGGTCTGTCTGAACAAAGAAATAAAAGCTCTGAGGTGTGTTTCATCTTCTTGTTACAGACGGGTAAATGGGAATTTAGGGAGGACTGAAGCCTATGGTGGTATGCAGAGATATCCCAACGCAGATGGAATATCAGTCTATGCAAGTGAAGTACATAAACACCTAAACTGGGATCCTATCTAACATGTACAAAAAGACCCTTTGATCTTGCATTGGAGGATGGCTTAAAAGGAAAGACTGATATCACTATTAAGGACAGATCTTTGATCAACTTAAGCCATTAAGTCTAGGTAGTAAAAACTAGTCACAAGTTAATATTTTTACAATGTATTGCATTATGCATATTACTCAGAAAATGTTCAAGTGAGGAAATCCTTTTATCATCTTACCACTGTCTTGTCATGTTTCATGTGAATATGAAAAAACAGCCTTGATTGTCAGAATGTATCAGCATGCAAAAACAGACCCATCATCTTACTTTATTCTTAAATTCAGTGGAGGCTCCAAATGAGAAGAGAAACTTCACTACATCGTTGTGGCCTTGTTGTGCAGCAAAGAACAGCGGAGTTGCACCTGACTGTAAGAGAAAAATATATTAAAAGAACTCCAAACACATAACACACTTGAATGAATACACATTCAAATAATGACTGAGTATACACTTCAAATTAAAAAGTACTGAGTTCAGTCAGTTGAATATCAGCTGAATGATGATTTTGAGGACTCCAGAGGACACTAGGTATCTTAACTCAGTCTTCTTCCCATAGCACTGGGAAATCTGCCCAGCATTATACACTTGAATAAAATCCAAGAACTAAACCCCCATATTTTATACAAGTTGTGTAACATACTGTCATTAACACATGAGCAAATCAGGACCCCAAAAATCACTATGTAAGCTTTTAGTGGCTGGACTGAAAGAAGAAAAAAGGGAAGGAAGGGAGAAAGAGAGAAAGAAAAGACATGCAGGCTTTCCTGACTTTGGGCTCTCTCATCCCATGTAGAAGGTGCAGGAAAAGGGGAGCTTTACATGAGGAGCTCCAATGCCCAAAGCCTTTACAATAGCACTTGGTCCCTTTAGACCATTTCAGAACCTGCTCTCCTGGAGCCACATTTATGGGGCACTCACTTCCCCAAACTTCACTACAACTTCAGAGCACAAGAGCACTGGTTTGACTATGTGGATTTAGTTGCAGAACAATGCCATTGGTCTTTAGGGCTTAAACTTCATCTGTTTTGCTCCCTTTCTGCAACAGAGTGATTTTGGAGGCTTTCAGCGTTTCTTTTTGTTGGCTTGTTGAGTCAGTATGTCCTGAGCGATACTCATAAGCAGCTCCATAAAACTGTTCTCAACTTTTTCTTTTGTAGCTGCTTTCCAAGCAATATTTACCTGGGGGAAGGCACATGTTTAAATACATGTTTTGTTAGAACAGGACCCCACTGAAAGACACTGACAATCATGGTTAGAGCAAGTTTAGGCCAGTAAGTGCAAAGACACTTATATCATCAACCATGGCATTCACTGACTCAGTAACTTGCAGATGTCAGCATGAGATTAATGCTCTAGTTCCAGGTAACCAAGCAAAGTAAGAAACACTGCCTTGTATTGTTAGAGCAACCAGGATACCGCTGTCCCGCACTGCATGCTGCCACCCCACCACGTACCTGCACGCCCTCCCTAAACTGCTCTTAGGACCAGTACAACTGTGGTTGTCCCAGAGCAATTCTGCTCCGTGTAGCCAACACACAGACCAGAGTGACTGCAAGTACTCCTTACAACACGGAGCATGAGTGAAAGTTTCCCAAAACCAGTCGCTGATGTCCCTCCCACAAGCAAGCATGTCATGGTGCAAGAGATGCCTTGAATGCAAAGCAGAGATGCAGGGAAGGGTATGGGTGATCAAGCTGTGTGATTGTTAGAGGTGAGTTGTCTCAGACTGAGGCAGAAACTCCAAAGTATACCAAGTAAAAATAACCCCTGCGCTAGCAATGGCATCTGCTCAATTGTAACGACCAGGCTGCAAATCAAAAGATAAAGGACTTATCATTTATCCCATCCAGAGAGCTGGAAATTATTATTGTGCCAATAAGTAAAACTGCAAATAAATGGCATAACCAGGGGGTGGGGGTGTTACATCTCAGATGTAACTGACCCTTACCAACCATATGTGCTGAAAATGCTTGATAAGTTACTTTTAAATGTACCTCTGGCACCTCATTTTCTATTATAAACTCCATGTATCTGATTCCCTGATGCCCTCAGGAGAACAGACCCTGTTACACATGCACTGCACAGCAAATGACAAAGAAGCAACTGGCAAAAAGCCATAGACAACTCTCTTTTATTATTTGTAATAAACAGACACTTAATCAAGCCCTGTTTGAATGCAGAACTTCTCCTACCTCTCTCTGCAGATTGATATCTGCTCCTTGCAACACCAATTCCCGCACACAATCTATGTGGCCATAGTAAGATGCCACCATCAGAGCTGTTGTGCCAAGCTGGGGGTAAGGAAAAACAAGTCAGTACCTTCAACAGATACCTACATCAATGAATCAGGTTGTCTGGAAGAGACAGCACCTCTTCTGAAAACCTGAAGGAAGCTTATGATCATTGAAAAACTTGCTATCGTTTTAAACTTGCTATCAAGAATACTTTAAAAATGAGCATTTAGCAGGTGTTTGAACAAAAACATTACAGACTTGCCTGCAGTGTTAAGGTCTGACTGTTCAACAGATATGTGTAAAATTACTTTGCCTTATTGCCCCACAGTAAGTGCCACAAGAATAAAAAGAATGTTTTTTTTTACTTCACAGCGTATTTTTTAATCACAGAATCCCAAAGACCTTTGTATCATTTCCAGAAGAATAACCTTAGACACAGGAGCTGAGTGACTCAGCTGAGTCACTAATTCTGAGTCATAGTCAGGAGTAGGGGCTGGATGATTTGAACAATTCCCTATTCAAACAATCAGAGCAAACTCATTCTGTGACTCTTCATATTATAAGAGAGAACTTTCTGTCCAGAAATATGTTCCCTCAGTACACTATAAGGTCACTGTTCCAGTGAACCAAGTAAGATTGAGGTTATATGTGTGCAGTGTATGGACAATATGCAAAAATCATATGCATATAAGAATGAAACTCATCCTTCTAAAGAATTCACACATATCACTTCAAGTTAAAGAAGAAATGGGTGACATTGCAAAAAAGAAGCATGCTGTCTTAATTGTACAAAAATAATTTAGTCTAGAAAATGTGTATTTCTGATACAATTAATAATGCAGTGCAGTGTGAAAATTCTTGACCAAAGTTAGCCTTCTTTTGAGAAAAAATGAGCAGTAGTGGACCTCATTTTTTTCAATTGATCTCTGTCCTGTTTACTTCAAGCCTACATTTGAATATCCTTCCCTCCCTGGCAGAAGGACACTCATAACACCAGCTCCAGAAGTACTGTAGGACAAATTCTTGCCTACAGGGCAAAAATGAAATGAAAATGAAAAGATAGGTTAAAGTCAATGTGCTTAAAAAATCTCTTGCACTTTGAGGGCATTCAAAGTGAGAGAAGCTGTGGCAGGTTCATGTTTCAGGCTTGAAATGGCACTAATCCTGTACAACACTGGCATGACTCCATGTCAGTCAGTCCCCATGCCAAGTGAAAGAAACCTGGAACTTCCCACCTCAGTTTTCTCCCGCTCTTTGACACAGCTCAGCACAATCAATTATCTCACCATATGTTATGGGCAGAATAGAAAGACATTCTCGTTATCTGTGTTATCAACCCATTTCTACTCTCAAAACTAACTTCAACCCATGTCAGTTACAGTAAGGAAAAGCCCATGAAATCTATCTGTCACACGTCTGGGCTCCTCTTTGCTTAGCAATCTTGTGTCTTCATATTGATGCCCTGGCATCGTACCATCCAGAGATACTGGAGGGGACGGAGGAATAATTTAGAAGACCACCAGTTCTTCTAATTATGAGGAGTTCTGCTAGCTGACAGAATCATTGCTACCTGGGCTTAATTGAGCCAACTCTTTGCAGTGATCTATTACTACAATGACATCTCTTTGCAAAGAGAAGCCCGAGGTGCTAGGATCTATGTTTTAAATGTCAGCACCACAAATAACTGTGTAAGACACATTTTTGAACGCTGGAAAATTCTTAACCCCTTGCCACTGATGTAAATCATCATCTTAAGTTTCAAACTTGCTTCCTGACAAGAGAAGGTTTTAAATCATCCTTAAATGCCTTAAGACTCTCAGATATCTCATGTTAGATTCCTACTGCACCCTCTGCACAGTGGAAAGTGATGCAAAATCAGTGCTGTGGGTGTAGGTTCATTGTGTGCATACGCTGTCTTTGCAGTCCACATCTACTCGCCCACTGTTCAGCAGCAGCTGGAGGAGAGCCAGGTTTCCTTTTCTTGCAGCCCAAAATGCGGCATTGGCAAGTGGTGTTTCTTTCTGGTGAAAAAAGAGGAAGAAAGAAAAAAAAAAAGAGAGAAAAAAAGCAGCAATAAACCATTTTGGAAGATACATTGGACAAATATACACGTTGCATTCATTCTGCATTCAAGCCAGGCAAGTTTCAGCTTAGCATGCTGTTCTTTCAAGCCCAGAGCACAGAAAGGAAGCTAATCTAATTTCTGTGTGCTATTAAAGAGATCAGTCTTCCTGTGCTACCTCATGTTGTTTCAAGTCTTTCCTGTGTCCATGGCAGCCTACATCTCTTAGATTGCTCTATAATGAGAGATGATGATACTGGACCACAGGGAGACATCATAGAAAACAACATACTAATTGGTGCCTGTATTGTCTGCTTCTGTGGTGGGGCTGGCCACAGTTAGGCTGAAGCATCCTGCTGCCATATCCTGCTGCAGGACAACCTCCTGGGTTTCAGGTTAGCTTTCTGTCATCTCCTTCTTTTCTGTATGTAAACTGCCAGTACAGGAAAAGTATTGCTCATGTGTTTCCTAGACTGCTTGGTCTGCCTCCTCCCTGGAATTAACACCCTGCAGCTGCGGGCATGTGTGATATCTCCTGGGTGATGCTAGAAAAAAGGTTAAAATCTGGCTGTTTATAGACCTCTGGATTCATTTACTAGGTATGCAAGGCAACATGTAAGGCAAAATCAAGAAACTCTGAAAACTAGATGTCACAGGCCACTGCTGAACAAAGGAATAGTAATATAATACTCTTTTGAGGCTTTCTTATTCTTAGAAAAAATGCCACAGTATGAATTCTCCTGGGTAGGGCAAATTGTCACTGCCCCAGCATAGGAAGAGGGCAATAAAAAAAGCCATGGGCTTTGCTCTTAACCTCCTTATGTGATCCATGCAGACAGCTGCCAATATGCTGCCCTGGCAGGTAAGCACTGTGACGGGGGGAACAACACTGTGATGGCAATGATACATATCCTAGAGAAGGCTCATGCTGCTGACTTTTTATTAAGGCCCCAAGCCACCAACAGTGCAGTAAAGTATCACTTCACTGGTAGTCACTTACACCAAAAACAGAGTCAAAAATACCCAGGGGCCTTGCTTCCCAGTGAGTCCTGTCTTCATGATAAGAGAGTGCAGAGTGGATATAAAAGTCAATAATTCAGCTTCAGAAATGTAACAGACACTTCTCCTTGTCTAAATGTCAATGCGCACATGTAGTGTGGTAGAGAATCAGGATTTAATGGTTTTACGGTTGATACTTAAAATGCACATACACAGCAGAGCTTAAATTGCTCTCTTCACTGACACACAGATAACAAACTTTGCAGAAACCAGCAGACACAAGACCAATCATGAATCTCAATCTACCTCAGGTCCATTGCACTGAGCACTTTCCATGGGATGCATTTTTATTATTCATAGGTTTGAAAATTGGCAGCTGTTTGAGACAACAGAAGTTCCAACAGTTCAATAAATTATAAGTCACTTCCTATAAATTGATAGCAATATTTCTTGTACCAGTACACATAGGGGCAGAAGTCTGAATATTTTGGCAAGTCCAATAAGCTAAATTCTGATCTCCCCTTCACAGCTCATGGATTTCCCTCGAGAATCTGTAGATAATGTTGATCAAAGAAGAGCTTGCAGTTTATACCCTCCTTGCAGGCAAAGCTGTAGTGTCGTCCTATCTTTAGCCTTACAACCACTAAAATTTTATGTAAATGCAAACAATTGACCCAAACACACAGTGGCCCATGTTGCCCTTTTTCCTCTGATTTATTACACAGATATTTATTACTTATTAATAGAGCTGGCAGTTTGGGATTTTGTCTTATTGGCTGCATCACTATGATATTCAGTGGAAAGCTATTGCAAAAGAATTATATTTAGACCTTTACAGAATGGAAAATCAAATTCTTTACCTTTTATTTTCTCAGTCTATCCCTTAAAGTTTTAGAAAGCTTTGGGGTATGGCAATATATTCATAAAGGGAAAGATTTATTTAATCCAGCCCAGTTTTCACTACAAGGGCACAGTAGCAGACTCCATTTTATTATTCATACCATACACCACCACCACCTCCACTCGTCAGGTAGGCAGGAACTGGAATCAATATTTAGGAACTCCTTACCTGCTTTCACCAGTTCACATGAGGAGAGAAAAGAACTAAGTGTCCAGTGTTACCTTGGACTGGAAATAGAAGTCCAAAGTCTTCAGCCTTATGACTCATAAATTCCTACCTCTTTCCCCACCTCCCTCCCCCCCGTAGTTCCTACAGTGACTCTTCAGCAAAGTTGTCCTCATGCTTTGGATCAGGCCCAAGGAATGGAAGAATTCTCCAGCGCATCAAGGACAAAAAACCAGGTTTTTCCCAGTGGTGCTTTCAACCCAATTTGCAATGACTGCTACCAGTACTTCTACTACCCCTCGTGCTCCCACACTGCTGGGGATTCCTTGTATAAAAGTAGAGTATACAGCACACTCACACCATCAACCATCCAGTGATTAGATTAAAAAAAAGTAATTACAAATCTGAGTTATTTTACCTCCTAAAGTGAATGGAAAGTGCAAAATCATTCAGATGATCCAGAATAGCCCCACTGAGTGCCATGTGGCAATTTCTCTTCTGCTTTCAAACAAGGATTTATACCTCTGTGCTCTTCACTTTCAGGTGATATCAACAGTACTGACATCACTGATAGGAACAAGGTAAGACACTACTTTTGGATTAATAATCCAAATAATTGAGTAATTTTTGAGCAATAAATGGGTTTTAAACTGCAGGATGTGACTGCTGTTGTTCGGTTATGAACTCAATCTTGTTCTCACCAAATACTTCTTAGGGAGAGGTGATGTTGAATTTCAAAAGATTAACTGGATAAAATTTTCACATAATTCTTATTATAAAGCTAGTCTGCTCCCAAAGCATCCTAAAGTAAACAACTGATCCTCAGTACTGACAGTCTGGGAACAGAATGTAATAAATGTTTGAAAAAGTGATTAGCTAATAGCTTTGGTGAAAATAGCTTGTTTCATTATGTCATTTGCTCCAGCATCAGCAACTTTCAGGACAAAATTTCCTTCACTTCATCAAGTTCTCTAAAGCTTTATTTCAAACTCTGGCTGTTCTACTAATTTTGATTGTTTGTGTGCTTTTACAAGAGCCCATAGAGGAAAAGCTGGCATTATATTCATGCTGTATCGACATTAGAAAAAATACTTATTCAAAAATGGCCTAGAGGAAAACATATATTATAAATCTGATAAGACCATTTCTGTGCAGGGATACAGGAAAAAATAAATTGTGCCTGTATATGTGTCATTTTAGAAATATCGAGGGGAAAAGTATCATTTAAATGCTGTGACCACCAGCACCCTGGGCTGCCTTTGACTTGCTGTTTTCAGAGAAAAGGCAGGTGACAGTGGGGTAACAGCTGAGGAGGAAGAGCAAGGGGTCTTGCAGATGAAAGAAAAGGGGCAGTAGGCTAAGAGAAAGAAAAGAGAGGAGAAAGAGAACACTAGCCCTGGCAGTGGTGTGTTCCTTTTACTGTCAAAATACAAGAAAATTCTGTTTTCTTTCTTAGTTTCCAAGCCAGTCCTAATGGACAGGAGGAATTGAGTGAAAAGTTCTAAGGAGTACCAAAAATCAGGATTAAGCATGATATAATGGAAAAGGTTAGTGGGACCTAGGAGCAAAGAGTACCTTATTAGATAGCAATATATCTTACATGAAGGATCCTCATAAAAAAGAAAGGTCATTCAAGATATAAATATTGGTTACACAGGCAAAAGCTGGTAGAAGAAGAGAGAGTAGTCATGTATATAGACAGTGAGAAAGATAGATGAATGGTACATCATGGGTAAGTAGAATAACAAGATGGAAAACATGAACAGACAGTGGCAAACAGGGTTAGTAGGGATCGAAGCAAATTACAGTTTTCTGAGAAAATGAGAAAATGTAAAGCAAAAAGACACAGAAAAGAGAGATAAAGCAGAGGGAGGTGCGGGTTGCAACTCTGCAGAGGGGCAGCAAAGCAGTCAGCCACCTTGAACAGGAGTACTTGAGGAGATACAAAGTGAAAACTAGGGCATAGAATAGAAACTCACAGAGACATAACAGAAAATAAGACCTGAAGGATGGGAGAAAAAAACAAGAAGGAAAAAAAGAAGGAGAAGAAAGCAAGAAGACAGGGCTAGCACCACCAGGAACATGAAGCTAACACCCGTTAGGGTGGATGCTTGTGAGAAATGAAGGTGGAAAAAAACTCACAGAGAAAGAATGGAGGGACAGAAAAGACTAAGAAAAAAAATGGAGATATGAGACCACTGCAGGGCCAAAAACGGGATAAGCCACAGAGAATGCAGTCCAGGAAGCCAAGTGTGTCCTGGGCTACACCAAAAGAAGTGTGTCCAGCAGGTTGAGGAATGCAGTTCCCTCTATTCTGCTCTGGTGAGACCACAATTGGAGTACTATGTTCATCTCCAGGGCCCCCAGCTTTTCACAAGGGCATGTAGTGCCCTTTACAGCACAAGGGGAAATGGCTTTGAACTGCAAGAGGGTAGGTTTAGATAAAAATAAATTCTTTATTGTGAGGGTAGTGAGTCACTGGAACAGGTCGCCTAGAGAAGTTGTGGATG